ATGGATTAGGTCACCTTTGTATTTGACGAACCAGTGGAGCGAGAACACTTCGAAAGAGGGTCACTGATGGAGTGCATGATGCAGGTACCAAATGGTTTTTGGAATTTCGAAAAGTACTAAAAAAAAGTGTACGAAAAGTACTAAAATGTACTACATTTAGTACCATTTCGTATCATGTGAACGGTTAGAGCTAAAAACTTGAAATTTGGAATGGGAATCAAGGTTGAGGGGTAGAAGGTAGTTTTGTAAGTGTGTACTTATGTATACAAAAAGTACTAAACGGTACTAGATTTAGTAGAATTTGAATTTGCAGGAACGGATGGATCTGGAATCCTTAAATTTGAAACATTACTGGCGGAGTGTAGATTGGGATATGAAGGAAGTTTTGGAAATTTTTACTTTTGTGCACGAAAAGTAATAAATGTCACTAAATTTGGTACAATTTCGTCTTGGGTGAACCGATAGTAGTGGAATCCTGTGGGAGTGTAGGATTTGGATATGTAGTAAGCATTGGAAATTCGTACTTATGTGTACTAAATGGTACTTTATTTTGTACAATTTGGATTTAGGTAAACCGATAGGGCTAGAATAAATTGTGTGATGCAGGTTTTTATGGAAATGTGTACTTATGTGTACTAAATGGTACTAAATTTAGTACGATTCCGAAAGAGCTGGAATTTTTAGATTTCTTAGGGATTGTATGATTGAGGTATGGATATGATTTTGAAAAATTGAAGTGTATGATTGGGGTATGTGGGAAGTTTAGGAAATTCGTACCTATGTGTACTAAATTTGGTACAATATAAATTTTGGGAGAACCAATAAAGTTGGATTTCTGGAAATAAAATTACTATTGCATTGTGACTGAGGTATGTAAATAGTTTCGGAAATTCGTACTTATATGTACTAAATTTGGTACAATTTAAATTTTGGGTGAACCGGCAGAGCTGGTATTCTGAAATTTAGAAATAAGATTTCTGTTGTATTGTATGATGTTGGTAGTTATGCAATAATATAATGGTACGAAATTCAGGATAGAGTTAGATTTTTGAATTTTGGTGTTGAGATCAAAATTGATGTGTAGTTTTAAGACATGGAGATGGTTTTGGATATACGTACCGTAGATGTACGAAAGGTGTTTAATGGCAATAAAATTCGATTTATGGTCTATATTGTGAGTTCTAATTGTAATAAATGTACTTAATGGTACAGAATTCGGTACATTTAGTTATGGTTTAAAAGAATGGTGAATTTTAAATTTATCATTAGGATCACTGTTAGCGTGAAGGTTTGATATTTGGAGGCGGTTTTGGAAATATGTACTCAAAAGTACTATATTGTAGTAAAGTTGGTATTTGGGCAAGGGATTGTGTTGGAAGTGTAAACTTTGGCATTAGGATCTCCTTTGAAATCCTGAAATTTGACATTAAGGTCAATGTTGGTTTCTAGGGTTTACATATGGAGACGTTGAAGAAATTTTGGATAGGAAATTTGGATGTGGGTTCTTGTGGAATGGTTTTTCTAAAATCCTCCTCCATAAACTTCAAAATGAACTATTTTGAAGGCTTCTTGGTGTAAATAGTAAACATTTTTCTATTTTTCTTTACGAACAGGGAAAACTTAAATAGTATATAAAACCCTGAAATTCTGAAAAAAAAACTCTTAAAAAATATTGTACAACTGAACAAATTTTTTCTGGTGAAGGAATAATTTCAAACTGATGACCAAAGAATGTCCGCTTGAAAATTTTTAGGTTTTCGACTTTGGATAAGTTGCGTATATGGAACGATTTAATTATAATAATTAACAATTATTACACGCTTAACAAATGTTCAACCATCGTGTTTCTGTGAAAAACTCTTAATTTTGTCTCAAGTTTACGAATTATTCGACGTATGTATGTATGATTCGTCGGAAAAATATTTCATATACATCACAATTTCTGATAGTCTACCTTTGCTGTAGGCAGAGATTTTTAAATTGTTGTTCCGACTTCGAACCGAAATTTGGATGAAACTTTCAATTTCGGATGAGTATTCTATCCGCCTTCTAGCCGAATGTTATATATCGGATGAAAATTTGAAGTTCTACTTAACTTTCTAACCGAAGTTGAGTGGACCGATATTACCCATCTCCGAACTCGACCTGAGTTTGATAATAATATAACGATGCACCAAGATTACACCAAATCGGTTACTCCCTTCAAGAGTTATCGTGGGCACCAGTTAGCCATATAGACAGACAGATGGACGGACAACCCTAGATCGACTCCAAATGTCCTGAAACGGATTTGGCCCAAAGAGACATAGTTTTGGTCGTATCAAACGATATATTCCCTTTTTAGCCATATGGCTGACTATACATACCTAGTTTTAAACGAACCCTAAGTAGCGAACTGTGAAAATTCTGTTTGTAATTGCGGATAAAACATTAGACTACCCAATATCGAGAGGTACCCTTATATGGAGCATACAGAAAAAAGTCAACCAACATGGCCCATTTACGAACTTAACCTGCCTGCTAACAAAATACACACATGTGCAAAATTTGAAAACTCTAATATTTTCCCCAGTGCACTATGGGCCGATGGCATGGTTTTGAGGCAAAAACTCATTTTTTGAAGTTAGTCATTTGAATAAAAAACAAGCAAAAAATCTGTAAGTTCGGCCTGGCCGAACTTTGAATATCCTCCACCATTTGGAACGAATTTGGAAATTCTCAAAAACAACAAAATCCGTTAAAACTTCTGTTAAAATCTTAAAAATACCGAATGTAGGGTCTATACGACGACATGAACCTGCGTAGATAACATTTGTCATAAGCCATTAAAATATTCAAATGAAACGAAACTTAAAAAAATCGGTTATAATGTCGATAAAATCAAAATACCGAATATCGGGAGCTACCGTTATATGGGGGCTATACGAAGACGTGGACTTGCACAGGCAATTTTCTGTCGTAAGCTGTAGTATCCATTACGAACTTTAAATACGAAATTTGAAACAATTCCGGTGAATAAATTCGCTAAAATCATCAAAATACGGAATATCGGGAGGTACCGTTATATGGGGGATCTAAGAAGACGTGGACCTGCACAGACAATTTTCTGTCTTAGGATGAAGTATTCATTATGAACTTAAAATACCAAATTTTAAACAATTCCGGTGAAGAAATTCGCTAAAATTATGGGGGCTATACGAAGACGTGGACCTGCACAGACAGTTTTCTGTCTTAGGCTGTAGTATCCATTACGAACTTCAAGTACCAATTTTGAAACTATTCCGGTGAAAAATGTCGCTAAAATCATCAAAATAACGTATATCGAGAGGTAGAGTTATATGGGGGATATACCAAAACGTGGACCTACATGGCCCATTTTCAATACCAAAAGTCCTGCAAACATAACATACATTTGAGCAAAATTTTATTAATCTTCAATTCGTTCGGAAGCTAGAGGGATTTCCACAGACGGATAGACGGACGGACATCGCTAAATCGACATAGAATGTTATGCTGATCAAGTATATATACTTTGTGGGGTCTAATATATGTATTTCGAGGTGTTTCAAATGGAATGACAAACTTAATATACCCTCCATACTATGGTGGAGGGTATAATAATGAAATTATGTTCATAACACTTTCGAAAACAAAAAATAACAATCTGGTAACAACTTACCGGATTATGCCGAGTTGTCCAAGATGACAAACTTCTATAGATATATATGAATCGATTGGTCCAAATATGACATACCTTGACATTGACGGGATTTTATCCTATGGTCACAGATTCAGCCTAACTAGACAAAAATAGCACAGTTGGTGTATCATTTACAAAGAATTTGAAGGGGACCTCTATGTAAATCTGAACCGATTTCGACCAAACTTGCCAAAAATATTTCTAAGCTATATCGGATACCTCATGCCAAATATCATTGTTGTAGAGTACATAATACGACTCTGAGGGACTTAAACCTTAAATCGGATGAAATCTGTATGTGGTAGTTATATCAATATTCTTGCCGATTCGAAACAAAGTTGGCAGATGTTGTTCTCATCATAGCCAGCACCTAAAAACGAACTTTGGAAAGTCTACCTCATTTCTGTGATTTTTTGCCTCAAAAAACCTGCTATTGGCCTCATAGTGCAGTGTTTGGGCAGGTACGAAAATAGAATATATCGGCCCACTCCATCAAGGGTCAAAATTGTTTATAATTATAAAAGTGAAACAACAGTGTTCAGATTTCAAAATTTTCAACTTATTTATCAAAACAAGATGTAGTGTGAAGATGGGATATTTCGGTTCACTCCTTCCTGTACCTCCCCCACATAGGGTCAAATTTTTGAATAATGGTCTCTCTTATAGAATATGAAATAAGAGTCTCATGATCTTCAAATTTCAAACATCCCGATTCGTTCACCAATACGAGATCTGGTACCAAGAACGGATATAACGGACCACTCCTTCTGGTAACTCCGCCCACAAAGGGTCAAATTTTTGAAAAATTAAAACTCCTATAAAATTTGAAAGAAGAATCCAATTGCCTTAAAGTTTTGCACATCACAATATGTTTACCAACACAAGATCTGGTATGAAGATTAAATATATCCGACCACTCCTTCTGGCACCTCACCCACAATAGGGGAGGGCATAAAAAGAGGACTTTAATCTTCCTCAATTTATCTAAAAAAAACTTTTTCTACTGATTTGTTTTGTAAGTAGTTACGATTGCCAAAAATTGGTAATTTTGAAATTATTTTTTTTTTCTAATAAAACAACAACATTTTACTTGTTGTTCCTTATTTTTCTTCGTCTCATTAAAATGATCGGAAAATTAAATTATTTAATGAAATTTCTACCTCCCACACACGTTTGCGACATGGATCATTAAAACGTAAGTACACACAATCGTAGGTCTCAAACATCGAACCACATCTTTGTTTTGTTTTTGCTATAATAACCTCCCCAATTATATCATCAACAAAATAATTGAAACTAATTAAGGAGAAAATGTCTTCGACCATAGATGGCTGAAGCAGTTCTATTTATTTGTTGTTACTTTTATTTTGGATTCTTTCTTTCTTTCGTTAGATTTTCATTTTTCTTCTTTTTTCAATTTGGCACGTTTGGACATCTGGACATTCTTTTTTGGTTTGGCATTAGAGGATGGTAGCGATGATGGGCTGTGACAAATTTCTTTTCTAATAACTCTTCTTTATTCTCATTTCCGGTTTCATTGCAATTTTCTGGAGATGCAAATTAAAACTAATAAAAAGACGGACATGGCCAGCAAAGATGTTGTCGATGAGGACTTATTTAGAACTGATGCTGCTGCTGCTGAAGACTTGACACAAACTTGTCGAATGGACTCGGTGTAAAGGCCACGTCTCGATAGTAAATTACGAATGCTGCGTATGACCTGAAATGAGAAACAGAAAAAACAGCACAAGAATGAAGAAATGAAAGCATATTAAGGAAAATATTTTTTTTTAGTTAAATTAAGACAACGTTTAATTTGAAATTAAATTATTTTTATTCTGGAAACAGCCAAGTGATGTAATGCCCAAGAAAGCATGGGAATTTAACCGACGACATATTTACAGCTATTTAATGGTTAATTAACTTTGTGTGGCACTTTTGGGGGTCATCGAGAACAAACTATTTGAAATATATATAACTTTGGTACAGCAGACGTCGGTGTAAAGAGTTGTCCTATATTGACTCATTTACATCGCACTTCGTGGTAAATTATGGGTTAATTCTTAAAAATTCCGAGAAGGTGACCTACATAAATTTTGTATATCGTCTAGCTGTCTGTCTGTTGAAATCACGCTATTTTTTGAACGAATTGGGATAGAAGGCAAAAATTTTGCACCTAAATGTATTTCGCCAGTAGGCAGGATAAGTTGGTAAATGGGTCATATCGGCCCACGTTTTGGTATGACCCCCGACATTATAGACCGGAATTGTTTAAAACGAAATTTGTAATGGATACTTCAACCTGTGACAGACAATTGTCTAGGCAGGTCCACGTCTTCGTATACCCCACAAAATACGGTACCTCCCTTGTTTCGGTATTTTGACGATATTAGCTACGTTATTCAAGGGAATTGTTTAAAATTTATTTATTTTAAATTTGAAATTCCTAATAAGTTTTACAGCCTATGAAAACAAAAATTAATTAAGCAGGTACTCGTCCTCGTATAGCTACCATATAACGGTTTTCGTTTCGATGGTATTTTTCGGCGAATTTGTTAATGTTTTTCAAGTTTCTTGCAAATGGTGTAGGGTATTAAAAGTTCGACGCTGCCGAATTTAGTCGTTTTTTTTCTGTTGCAAAAAAGGGGCTTTCAATCGTTTCATAACCTGAATCGGAAATTTCTTTTAATACATTTGAAATAATGAACCGGAATTTAACATTTAATTTAATCAGTTGTGCTAGAGGGTTATACATTAACGTCTAGATATAGGGTTATTCTCTAACGTATATTTGTCAAGGTTATTATACAAGGTGAGATAAAAAAACTGCAACCAACTTCAGACTGCTGTCATTTCAAAGCTACTCGTCCGACAGCTGTTAAAAGCGTACAAAAGCATTTTGGTGAAAATATTCCAGAAAAAAAGTTATTCGTGATGGAATTCAACCGTGATAGTGTGATTTCTTTATATTTGGATGGAAAACCAGCATTTAAATGTGAATAAATATTTTGTGTCTCGTACCATCGCTGGTTACCGTGATACTGGTAGCGTAGCCCGACGTCAAGGAAGTGGACGAAAAAAAAACAGTAACATCAGCAGAAATGATTTGAAAAGTAAAGAAGCGACTTGATCGAAACCCGCGTCGCGGTGGCCGAAATATGGCTCGTGAGCTGAACATATCGCAATATGCCATTCGGAAAAATATTAAAAAATGACCTCGGGGTAAAGCCATTGAAATTCAAAATGCGCAAGAACTTACACCCCAACAGAAAGAAGAGACTCAAAAGAGCCAAAGAGTTGCTTCGCTTGGCCGAAAGTGGTGAACTACAGACAAAATTATCGTGTTTACTTGCCAAAGAGGTCAACTGAAAATGTGCACCTTCGGTTGGCCACCAGAACTCAAGCGCCGGCCATGGTTATGGTGTGGGCCGCCATAACAACCGATGGTTGCTCTCCGTTCGTATTAATCGACCGTGGCATCAGAATAAATGCCGAATATTATCGCAAAAACACAATTCTGGAGGGTGTATTAAAGCCTTGGGCACGCAAACATTTTAGCCACAGACCTTGGACAGCCCAACAGGGCTCAGCACCATTGCACTCAGCACGCGCCACCCTATAATGGTTACAAAATGAGGTTCATTGCTCATAGAACGTATTTCTAAAACCACCTACTTCGTACAACTACTGTCACCAACAGGGATGTACATATCAAATTTCAGGATTTCGGCTCTATCCCTTCACTCAGAACCCAAATTTAGTAGCATATAATTTTTTTTCGTACAGTTAAAGCACACTTTTCGGAAACCACTTCCATATCTCAATCTCAGATACCAACAGACACCCCAATATCATATTTACAAATTTAGTACCATTTAGTACTTTTCGTGCGAATATTGGAGACATTTCTAATCCCACCTTCAAATTTCAGCCTCAGATACCAGCAATCATTTAAATATCAACATTCAGAACTTTGTCCCTATCAATTCACTCAATACCAAATATAGTACCATTCAGTATTTTTTGTACAATTATCATACACATCTTCAAAACTACCTCCATGTCTTTACCACAGACACCAACAGTGACATCTATGTCAAATTTCAGCTCTACTCCTTCACCCAATACCCAATTGAGTACCATTTTGTACTTTTCCTACAATTATAGTACACATTTCCGAAACCACCTCCATATCACCAGTCTGCACTTGAACATCAGCCCTAATACCAAATTTAAGATTTTAAACACTAATCTGTTCACTCAACACAAAATTGTACCAAATATAGTAATATTTATTACTTTTCGTGTTTATCATTTTTTATAAAACTTCGTTCACCCTAAACCAAACTGTACTATTTCGTACAGTTCGTACACTTAGCGCACATTTCCAAAAACACCTTCATCTATCAAACATACTTTCCGATCTCGATTCTCATACTAAATTTCAAGTTCTCATAGTGTTCTCTTATAGTGCTAAATTGTACCATTTTAAAAGTTCAGTATCATTTTAGAACTTTTCGTAACCTTAAAATTCTTACTTCCAAAATCCCTTTAGTACTGACCCTCACTGACCCTCATTCCGAATTTTAGAATTCTAGCTCATTCCGCTCATTCAATTTTTAGTATATTTGGTACGAATTTTTAAGAACCTGCCCTCTCACAAGCCTACGCACCAAGACTGACCCTAGTGCAAATTTTCAAGATTCTAGCTTCAGCCATTACATCTGGGCGTAATCAGTCAGTAATTTCACTACTATTTAACAAAAACTCTTAAAAAAACAATTTTGTTCGGCCGGGTAGAATATTTAATATCCTCCCCCATTTGGAAGTAACTTAAAAATTTTCAAAAAATTGTTTTACAAAATTTTTTTGTCATATCCTTTAGTACGAACTTCAAATACGAAATTTGAAATAGCTGCAGTGAATAATGTCGCTAAAATCATTAAAATATCGACTATCGGGAGGTGCACTTATATGGAGGATATACGAAAACGTGAACTTGCATACGACATTTTTTGTCATAGGCTGTAGTACATATTGCGAACTTTAAATACGAAATTTGTTACAATTCCTGTGAATAATGTCGCAAAAATCATGAAAATACCGAGTATCGGGAGGTACCGAGTCACCGGGAGGTGACATGGACCTGCATAAGAAATTTTGTCCATAGGTTGTAGTACCCATTAAGATCTTCAAATATGAAATTGGAAACGATTTCGGTGAATAGTGTTGTTGAAATCATCAAAATACCGACTATAGGGAGGTACCGTTGTATGGGACGTGGACCTGCATACAAAAATTTTTGTCACAGGCTGCAGTATCCATTACGAACTTGAAATACAAAATGTAAAATAATTCCGATAAATAATGTCGCTAAAATCATTAAAATACCGAATATAAGGAGGTACCGTTGTATGGGGGCTATACGAAAACGTGGACCGACATGGCCCATTTACGAACTTAACCTCAATACTGGTAAACTATGCGTGTATGCAAAATTTTAACCTTCTATCTCAATTCGTTCGAAAGCGTAATTACAACAGACAGACCGACAGACGTACATCGCTAGATCGTCTTAGAATTTTAGGTAGGGCCTATTATGAATATTTCGAGAAGTTACACACGGAATGACAAAGTTAATATACCCTCCATAGAATGGTGGGGGGTATAAAAAAGCAATTGTTTCCGGCTTTAAAAGTCTATTTGCAAAAATAAAGTACTAGTACAGGGTTGCATTTTTCCCAGCTTCCTTGAAATTAAAATACCTTCCTATCACGCCCTACCGAAAATTCCCAATATCGAAAAACTTTTTGGTATCGTTGCCATCTACCGTATTCTGTGTATCCTGAATTTTAGTAGTTCCGACTTTAATTAATTTAATTCCGAATTTTTAATTATTAAGTCTTAATGAGTAGGCCACACTCTTGGAAAACAACTAGATTGTAGGCCCAGGATTTCGAATTGAAACGGTTGCCTCCAGTTTTTTTGGTAGGGCAAAGATCCAATTTTCGGAGTATTTACCGTTATATAGGGCTAAAGAGTTTCGGCCGAATTACTAAGTCGGTAAACCGATGGGGGAAGATATAAAACAAAAAGTTTTTCATAGAATAAATAGGGTTTTGTTTTCGGAGTCGACTCCGAAGACTCAGTCATTTAAAAAAGACTTCGTCTCCGAAGTCAGAGTCTGATTCAAATTAGCTCGAATTTGCTTATGCCAATGTATTTAGGCCTTTGGAATCCAATGTAGGTTCGGCTTTGACTATCATATTTGACCGATCCTTAACTCAATTTCTATTAAAAATACATATTTTACAAACATTTCTCACCAAATTGGCATACTTACATCCTGACTCAATCCTTGTGGCTCTCGACTCAGCACCACCGTATAAATACTGTGATGTAGATCACTGGAACAGAATGTCAATACCAAATGGTCACTAACGGCCTTAACCACTTGAACGGTGCCCGTAAATTGATTGTATTTATTGAGGGCTACCATCGAGCCACGCTGCTCGCCAACGTTTGTCCACAGGCCGGGATGGTTCATTGTGTAATTGAAATTATACTCAATATTGTCATCCTTCTCGCTCCAGATCAAACGCAAGTATCTGGTATTGGAATGGCGATGTGCCATTGATGAGGCCGTCCTGTCACGGTGTCCCTCCAACGATGATGATGATGAGGCTGGCGATGAATGAATGCCTTCAGTTCTCCTATAGCTGGGTTGATAGTAGTCACGCATCTAATTGATAAGCAAAGAAAGGTGTAGAAGGGGGAGGGGCAGGAAGGACAAACAATTGAAAAGTAATGATAATGATTTGAGGATATTACATTAGACACCAGAGGGTGGGTGTTTTGTGGTTAGAGGGGGGATGGTGATTCAACAAATACTTACTTGATCCGTAACATCGTTCAAATAAAACGTAACACAACTGTCATATCGATACACACCGGGCACATCTTGGGTATGCATTATGATTTCGTTGCCATGCCATTCTCCGGTTATCTATTCAACACCAGCAACAACAGCAACAGAAGATCAGCCACAGCAGTTGTAGAAAAATAAAGAAAGAAACAAACAAAAGATAGTTAGTTATTTGACCTGCAAATGTTGGAAGAGAGAGATTCAGGGAGTGGGTGGCAGGCAGGTCGTTCGTCAGTTGTCCAGTGTTCAAGTAAACGATGATATGAATTATGTAGTTGAAACATTATCACATCAACAACGCCATCGTCATCGTCATCATCATCATCGACAACAAAGGCAACAACGGAAAGTAACAACAACAACGACAGCAGCACTCTCGTTGTAATAATTGAGTTATTTAATTATTTAATTTGTTCTCGTTATGAACGAAAACCCCCCTCCCCACCACCAAAACAAACGAAACCAAAACCGTTGTGGAATGTTGTTTTGCTTTCGGAAGGAATGAGGAAACCCTGTTTGTTGTGCGTTCGCATAGACCCCAGGGTAAATATTTGGATGACGGATGGTTGGTTGTCTCTACAGCCAGTCAGTTTTGGGGCTGGTGACAATAGAGGGTCAATGGAAGTCAACGCCATCAATGAATTATTTTTTTCGTGTCGTTTCGTTGTCGAAGTGTAATTTGGGTTAAAATTGTAAAAATCAATTTGAAATGGCAATTTCAATAGTTCGAGGGTATAGAGTTCGGCTGTTAACTAAATTGGCAAAAAAAAAACAATCTTTCTCCAAGTCATAAATAACTATTTATGTTTTGTTCATTGAAATGTTCTGTTGGGGCAAGAGTACTAAAATAAAATATCTTTCATAAATAGCAACTCGGGTCGTACATTCGGGTACATGAAAAAAATCAATCGAAAATTGAAACTACAATCTTGAAATTTTCCATTTTGTCAGTCTTGATGCGTAGGCGTGTGATAAGGCTGGGTTTTTGGAAAGTCGTACTAAAAGGAGACGAAAAAGTATCGGTCGGTTTTGCCGTCAGATGTGCACCCTCAGCCAATGTTCGATTATTTAAAAATATTTTGACTTCTGTTATGATTATTCAAATGTTTAACCCCTTATGTAGTAGATTCCGAAGGAATTGGCCAATATTGGTCATGTACTGAGTCTTGAATGGAATCGGATGTCAATTTCCCTTTTTATGAGCTATGGATATTCACAATTTTGAGCCTTAGTGGGGTAGATATCAGAAGGAGTCGACCGATATATCCCACCTTCACAACGGATCTTTTGTTAATGGAAATAATGGGATGTGTGAAATATAAAGAGAACCTTATGTTTATTTCGGATTTTAAGAACGTGTTGATTATTTATAACTTTGACCCTTTGTGGAGGAGGTACCAGAAGGAATGGTCCGATCTCTACCCTTTTTAACAGATCCTGTGTTGATAGAAATATTCAGATAGCCTTAGTCTAAATGGAATCCGAGGTTAATTACGCGTTTTATGAGCATAATGGATATTCAAGAATTTGACCTTTTGTGGGGGGAGGTACCAGAAGCAGTGGACCGATATATTCCATCTTAACACCAGATCTTGGGTTTACGAAAATATTGGGATGTGTAAAATTGTAAGACAATCGGATTATTACATTACATTTTATATAGACTTAGGATTAGCAAAGTTGGAGCAAAATCGGATTATCGTTACTCTATCTGTGCAGAAACTATATATTTTTTGACAATTTCAACTATTTATGGGGGAGTTACCAGAAGTAGTGGGCCAATATATTCCATCTTAACACCAGACCTTGGGTTAATATAAATATTGGAATGTGTGAAATTTGAAGACAATCGGACTCTTACATCACATTTTACAAGAGTTGTAATTATTCAAAATTTTGAACATTTGTGGGGAAGGCACTTGATGGAGTGGACCGATATTGTCCATTTTCGCACCTGATCTGGCAATGACGCAAATATTAGGATTTGCAAAGTTGGACCAAAATCGGATTATCCTTTCTCTTCGGTGCAAAAAATATATTTTTTTGAAAATTTCAACATTTTGTGGGGGAGGTACCAGAAGGAGTGGAGCGATATTGCCCATCTCCGAACTCGATCTAAGTTTGACAATAATATTACGATGTACAAAGTTTGGACCAAATCGGATACTCCCTTCGAGAGTTATCGTGCGCACCAGTCAGCCAGACAGACGGACGGACATCGCTAGATCGACTCCAAATGTTCTGAATCGGATTTGGTCCAAAGAGACCCAGGGTCTAAAACCGTTATTTCGACTAGGCTCGTTTTGACAGTATCAAATATCCCCTGTAGCCATATGGCTGAGGGTATAAAAAACGGAATGAACTAGACATTTTAAATGAGAGTCACTGATGCAGTACAGAATAGATGTAGCAAAGGTTTTGTGGAAATTTGAACTATAAGGTTACGAAAAGCTCTAAAATTGAACTAAACTTCTAAAATGATGCCACTTGGTATTATGTGAACGGATATAGCTGAAAACTTTGATATGAGAATCAAGGTTGAAAAGTAAGTTTGATATATAAAGGGAATTTTGGAAGTGTGTACTAAGTGTGCGACCTGTACTAAATGGTACTCAAATTGGAACAGTTTGGTTTAGGGTGAACGGATAAAGCTGGATTTTTGAAATTTCATATTTTTATCTGTATTAGATGAAGTGTGAAAAGGAATTCCGTCGACTATATCTGGTACATCACGCAAATTTTAACATTTTCTAAAAGTTATCAAATATCCCATATAATGTGAAGGACCAATACCAACAACACCAGAGCACCAATATAGTCCAAACCTGGTACGTCGCAATATTTATATCATATTTATATAATTCCGTTATAAAATGGACAATACTGACCCTTACTGCATAGAAGGTCAACAATTTGAATAATCATAACAGAAATGTACAGGTTTAGATGAAAAAACTGCAACCACTTTCAGAATGCTGTCATTTTTAAAACACTCGTCCGATAGCTGTTAAAATTATACCACTGACAGCTCATTATATTGTTTACAAGCGTACAAAAGCATTTTAGTGAGAATTTTCCAGAAAAAAAGTTATTCGTGATGGAATTCAAGCGTGATAGTGTGATATCTTTATATTTGGCTGGAAAACCACAAGTGCCTATCGTTAGAGCACTCTAGTATTTAAATGTGAATAAATATTTTGTGTCTCGTACCATCGCCCGACGTCAAGGAAGTGGACGGAAGAAAACAGCAACATCAGCAGAAATGGTTCGAAAAGTAAAGAAGCGACTTGATCGATATACGCTTTGCAGTGGCCAAAAAATGGCTCGTGAGCTGAACATATCGCAATATTCCATTCGGCATATATTGAAAAATGAGCTCGGGGTAAAGCCATTGAAATTCCAAAAAGTACAAAAAAGGGGTAAAGAGTTGCTTCGCTTAGCCGAAAGTGGTGAACTGCCGAATTTGGTTTTCTCCGATGAGAAAACATTCGTTGTCCAGAAGTTTGCAAACAAACGAAATTATCGTGTTTACTTGCCAAAGAGGCTGAAAATGTGCACCTTGAGGTGCCGGCCATGGTGATGGTGTGGGTTGCCGTAACAGCCGATGGTCGCTCTCCGTCCGTATTAATCGACCGTGGCATCAGAATAAATGCCGAATATTATCGCGAAAACATTCTGGAGGGTGTATTTCAACAGGACTCAGCACCATCCAACAGGACTCAGCACCATCGCACTCAGCACACGCCACCCAAGAATGGTTACAGAATGAGGTTCCTCGCTTCATTTCCGTCGCACAATGGTCACCAAAATCTCCGGATATCAATTCGTTGGACTATTGTGTCTGGAGTATTTGGGAAAGCAAGGTTGGTACTAAAAAATACGAAAGTGTCGGTCACCTCAAGCAAGCGCTTCGCCGGGAATGGGCTAAAATACCGCAAAGCAACATTCGGGCAGCGTGTGACGGTTTCATTGGCCGTTTGAAGGCCATAATTCGTGTCAATTCGAACAAACCTAAACTTATTCTTAAATTTGATGTTATTTCCCACAGTTTTTGTTTCCATTCAATAAAATTTAAAAAAAAATATATAAAAATTATGGCATTTGAATTTGTTGTAGTTTCCTTAACTTCCCTTACCTTGTAATTATTTTTGTTTCGGATAGTGTAATTTTGTTGAATATTTTTCAATCAATGTTTTTGTTTATTTCTTCGTTGACAATAACCCAGCCTTTTTGTATTCCCCCGTCATTTTACCCCCATCATTTCTGATTGCCATACAATTTAGAACACAAATTGTGTAAATCGTTACTGAAAGTAGCCCGTTAACACAAAAATTCTGCAATCTGAGATTTTGAAAATTCTTCCGGGACAAATTCCTTTCTATAATCACTGAGTCGGTTTATGCAAGTCCGTCTGAGACAGAAGAAAGTACAGAAGAAAATATTGCGGTCAGAAGATATTGCGTACAAAAGAATATATTGCTGTCGATGAGGCCAGTGTCGAAGAAAACAGCAATTTAGCAATGCGTCGTCGTTCGCAAGAAGTTAAATTTTGTCCATCGCCTTTATGGAAAATTGTGTTGAATTTTTATTGCGAAAACTTCAAGATATGGAGGTAAACGAAAAGTGGTTTCAACAGCATTTCTACAGCATCGCCTGAAAGTAAAATAGGCTGTATACGTTTTTGAAATTCCACTTGGAAATGCAGATATAGCATCAGAATTGGAGGTACCTCGAAAAAAACTTAGATTTTGTATGCAAATATCTTTTGACAGTCTTCCAATCCAACAGTCTTTTAATTTGGAATATGTAACGGAATTCGCTACAAAAAGAACTTTGCCGATTCAGATTTGCATATAGCTTCCAAATATTTTCTGCCGATTTCACATATTTGATGCACCAAATGAAATTCGGAATGAGAGACAAAAAAAAACAAATTAAACGATCCTTTCTCTTTCTATGAGATAAATTATTTTCTTTCAAAATGTGAACCTTTGTGGAGGAGGTATAAGAAGGAGTGGGCCGACATTGCGACATCTCCGAACTCGAACTAAGTTTGACAATCATATTGTAATGTATCAAGTTTGGGCTAAATCGATTACCCCCTCGAAAGTTATCGTGCGCATCCAGTCAGACAGACGGACGAATACACCTAGATCGACCCTAAATGTCCTGAAGCGGATTTGATCCAAAGCGACATAGGGTCGAAAACGATTATTTCGATGAGGCATCAAATGATATATACTCTCTGTAGCCATATGACTGAGGGTATAACAATTTTTGCGGGAAAAATAACCAGACAGACCTGGTTACCTGGAACATATGTGGTACCATATGTTCATTTTAACTACAACGAATCACTTGCTAACAAAGGTAGATTGTTATCATGATTTTCATACCCTACACCACATAGTGGTAAGGGTATTACGTCTATGTGTATTTGTTTGTAACATGGAGAAGGAAGCGACATAGACCCATAGAAGATTTTCATAAAATCACTTTCTGAGACGATTTATTCATGTCAGTCGGTCTGTCCCTCCGCCCGTGTATCCATGTATGTTTGTGAATAAAATGCAGGTCGTATTTATTATCTGATTGAGATGAAATTTTCCAAACAATATTTGTTTGCCCCAAGGTCGAACCCTATTGAAATTGGTGAGAATCGATTTAAATTGAGATATATCAGTCCAAATGGACTGAATTTTGGCAATTCCGACTGAATTCATCGAGATCATCCGATTTTACGGTTATTGCTCACCATATACAGGGTGAGATGAATAAACTGCAACCAACTTCAGACTGCTGTCATTTCTAAGCCACTCGTCCGACAGCTGTTAAAATTATTCCAGCTTGTTTACAAGCGTACAAAAGCATTTTGGTGAGAATTTTTCCAGAAAATATGTTATTCGTGATGGAATTCAAGCGTAATAGTGTGATTTCTTTATATTTGGCTGGAAAAACTCAAGTGGCTATCGTTAGAGCACTGCAGCATTTAAATGTGAATAAATCTTTTGTGTCACGTACCATCGCTCGTTACCGTGATACTGGTAGCGTAGCCCGACATATGTCAAGGAAGTGGACGGAAGAAAACAGCAACATCAGCAGAAATGGTTCGAAAAGTAAAGAAGCGACTTGATCGATATACGCTTTGCAGTGGCCAAAAATGGCTCGTGAGCTGAACATATCGCAATATTCCACGTGGCAAATATTAAAAAAATGAGCTCGGGGTAAAGCCATTGAAATTCCAAAAAGTGCAAGAACTTACACCGCAACAGAAAGAAAATAGACTCAAAAGAGCTAAAGAGTTGCTTTGCTTGGCCGAAAGTGGTGAACTGCCGAATTTGGTTTTCTCCGATGAGAAAACATTCGTTGTCCAGCAGTTTATAAACAAACAAAATGATCGTGTTTACTTGCAAAGAGCCAAAGTCAGCTGCACCAGAACTCAAGCGCCGGCCATGGTGATAGTGTGAGCCGCCATAACAGCCGATGGTTGCCCACCGCTCGTATTAATCGACCGTGACATGCGAATAAATGCCGAATATTAACGCGAAAATATTCTAGAGGGCGTGTTAAAGCCTTGGGCCGCAGACCTTGGACATTCCAACAGGACTCAGCACCATCGCACTCAGCACGCGCCACCCAAGAATGGTTAGAAAATGAAGTTCCTCGCTTCATTTCCAGCGCACAATGGCCACCAAAATCTCCGAATACCAATCCGTTGGACTATTGTGTCTGAAAGCAAGGTTGGCACTAAAAAATACCAAAGTGTCGATCACCTCAAGCAAGCGCTTCGCCGGGAATGGGCCAAAATACCGCAGAGCAACATTCGGGCTGCGTGTGATGGTTTCATTGGCCGTTTGAAGGCCAAAATTCGTGCCAAAGTTGACCAAATCAAACAAATCTAAACTTATTTTAAAATTTGATGCTATTTCCGACATTTTTTGCTTTCATTCAATAACATTTAAAAAAATGTAAAAATTACGGCGCTAGACTTTGTTGCAGTTTTTTTTATCTCACCCTGTATATGTTTTATCCGATTAGGGGTTAGGGTACCTCACATGCGTAATATGCACTCCACAACAATAATCTTTGGTACCAGATATAAGATACAGCTCAGAAATAAGAGTTTAAAATTTTGTCAAGATCGGTTCAGATTTGGAAATAACTCCCATATATAACTTTATCCGATTTCAGGATTATTGTGCACCAAATTGTTAATATCAGCCAAAATGCACTAATTTTGGCAGCTCCAACGGAATTCAGCTTAAAAGCAATTGCTTCAATTTTTGGTGACAATCGGTTCAGATAAAGCTATAACTCCCACATATAGGTTTCGTCCTATTTGGTGTTAAAGTCACTTACATGCGTAATATGCACTTTATAATAATGATATTTGATATCAGATACTGCTCGAGCATCTGCCAAATTCTATCGAGATCGAATCAGATTTTTATATAGCTTCGATATACATCTTCATCCGATTTTATGGTTATTGTTCACCATATATGTAATATCAGCCCAGCTGGAATATATTTTTTCATATTTAGCCGAATTTTACCATTTGGTCAAAACTCGGTCCGGTGTAACTACTGCTCCTATAAATATTTATTAATATAATCCTTATCGAAGTCATATCATGAAGTATAGAGCAATGTTTTTTGATTTATAGTCGGTATAATCTACTTCACATAAACTCCCAATATAAACTTTTTTGTTACTGCAGCTCTACTAAACACTCTAGGTGGTGTAGGGTATTATATAGTCGGCCCAACCGACATTTGACCTTTCCTTATTGGTTTTTGTTAGGGTTAATTCTAAATTTCCTTAAAACCGTTTATCCACCTTTATGTTCAAAAAATAAATTAATTTATTCAGTTTTTAAGCACTGTATTGTCCATTGTAAAACATTCAAAGTCATATGCTCCACTCGGCAGATATAGTGCCTTTAAAAAAGTTTTTAAATCGCATTGAAATTTCATCACTAAACTTCAAAAATCCAAGGGTCGCAATGTCAAATAATTTATGCAGGTTGTATTAGAGATACTCTTCTATACGCACTTGTTTAATATCCACCGAATGTTGGGGTTTGAGGTTCATGCACAACATTGAGGGCGGATGGTGTTGTCGTATTTCCGTTGTATCACTTCCGCCATTTTGACCGGGTCTAGGTGGGACATAGGTTTCGTAGGAATCTTCATTGGCATGCACACACACACCGATGCCAGTGAGAAGCAATGAAATGCCGATACACCGCAGATAGTTCGTAAGCATTTTACAACAAATTAACAAAACACAGACACCGATTTGCAAAAATAGTCGTTCACGACAATGCCGGTAGAAAAGACTGCGTTCGATATTCCCTTGTTATTTTTTAAGAATTTTGATTCCGCCACGAACCGCTTTGTTTGAATTACCGAGTGATAGTAAATGTGCGATCGTTGGAGAAAATCGAAAAAAGAAAATAGAGGGACACAAAATAAACGCAACAAATGTCGTACAAATGACTCAGGCTGAGCGAGCTCTCTATGTTGTGTTTACGGTACACACATACAAACATACACACACTAATGTTGTAAAATTGAGCAGCTTTCAGTTTTCATGCAAAGATGCCATTTGATGCAGACGTACATCCACTACTCTTATGCGGCATATAATTGAACGAATTTATACCAGTATGTGTGTGTTTTTACAAACAAGTGGCACAGTGGGGTGTGTCTACGCACATTTGCACTATATGCTGCAGGGTATTAAGTTGTACACCTAGTTGTCCTCAAGACTAGGAAGACTCAAATCCTTCCATATACCAAAAATTGTGTGTCCCCACATTTGGTCTGAAATCGACCAAGGCCCTTTTTATTCGTCTTTCTCCGGCCTCTTAATAATAGGGTTTTTTGTGGGGGAGTTTTAAAGAAATTTGTCGTTGTTCTGGAGTTTTCAAGGAATATCTTGTGTCGTGAAGTTTTAAAGAAATGCACACTCGTTTTTATGAAATCCACCACAGTATGGAAGGTATATTAAGTTTGTTATTCCGTTTGTAACACCTCGAAATATAACCCCCATATAACGGTACCTCCCGATATTCGGTATTTTGATGATTTTAGCGACATTATTCATAGGAATTGTTTGAAATTTGGTATTTAAAGTTCGTAATGAAAACTACAGCCTAAGACAGAAAATTGTCTGTACAGGTCTACGTCTTCGTATAGCCCCCATATAACGGTACCTCCCGATATTCGGTATATTGATGATTTTAGCGACATTATTCATCGGAATTGTTTGAAATTTGGTATTTGAAGCTCGTAGTGGATACTACAGCCTATGAAAAAATTGTCTATACACGTCCACGTCTTCGTATAGCCCCCATATAACCGCACCTCCCTATATTCGGCATTTTGATGATTTTAGCGACATTATTCATCGGAATTGTTTCAAATTTGGTATTTAAAGTTCGTAATGGATACTACAGCCTAAGACAGAAAATTGTCTGTGCAGGTTCACATTTTGGCATAGCCCCCATATAATAGTACCTCCCTATATTGATGATTTTATCTACATTATTTACCGATTTTTTTTTCAAGTTTTGCATTTGAATGTTGTAATGGCTTATGGCAAAACTTGCCTATGAAGGTCTCCGTCGTCGTCTAGACCCTAATATGACGGCTACATTTGGTATTTTTAAGATTTTAACAGAGTTTTTAAAATCCGTAAAAATTTGTTTAATTATTAAATTCGGGTATTGGTGGAGGGTATTTAAAGTTCGACCCGGCCGAACTTGTTGAATGTCTCTCGCCGTGACATTTGAAAATCCTTTCAGCCATTATTAAACATCAGTTTCTGAGGAGCCACTCAAGTCCCAGATCTTTAAAAATTCTTCCATCCAAACCCTAAAAAGTCAATAATGAAGCCTTACAAAAGGTCTATAAATATATTTTAAACTCCAAGATCGGGATCGGTGGAAAGGTCCGCAAAAATTCATAACAATATTCACGATTAAAAAAAAACATGGAAGGCCGCGAAAACTTTTTGAAAGGTATTTTTTATGAGACTTTCCACGTCTCAAGTCCTAGAGTTTTTATGATATTCTTTGTCCTGGATTTTTATACCCTCAGCAATATGGCTATAGAGGGAATATACCATTTGATACGGCCAAAACGCGTCTCATCGAAATAATGGTTTAACACCGTAGGTCTCTTTGGACCATATCCGTTTCAGGACATTTGGAGTCGATCTAGCGATTTCCGGCCGTCTATCTATCTGTTGCGCACGATAACTCTCGAAGGTAGCATACGATTCGATCCACACTTGGTACATCGTAATATTGTTATCAAACTTAGATCGAGTTCGGAGCTGGGCAATATCGGTCCACACCTTCTCGTAACGTCCCCACAAAAGGTCGAAACTTAAAAAAAAAATATTTAACTGCACAGAAAGAGAAATAATAATCTGCTTTTGCTCCAACTTTGTAAATCCAAATATTTGCATAAGTGCTAGGTCAGGAGAGAATATGGGCAATATCGGTCCACTCCATTATGTACCTCCCTCACAAAGGGTCAACACTTTGAATAATTATAACTCTTATAAAATGTAATGTAAGAATCCGATTGTCTTCAAATTACACACATCACTATATTTTTGTAAACCCAAGGTATGATGTGAAGATGGTCCACTCCTTCTGGTATCTCCCCCACAAAAAGTGTCAACATTTTGAATATCCTTGAAACTCATAAAACGCAAAATTAACATCTGATTCCATTATTTCCATTAACACAAGACCTGTTATAAAGAAGGTAGAGATCAGGCCTCCCACACAAAGGCTCAAAATTAACACCCATGAACACAAGACCTGTTATAAAGAAGATAGAAATCAGGCCATTCTTTCTGGTACATCCCACACAAAGGGTCAAAGTTTTGAATAACCAAAAAGATTTTAAAATCCGAAATAAGCATCCGGTTCTCTTCATATTTCAAACATTCTATTATTTCTGCTAACACAAGATCTGTTGTGAAGATGGGATATATCTGGTACCTCCCGCACAAAGGGTCAAAATTTTGAATATCCATGAAGTTCGTGATACACGAAATTAATATCCGATTTAATCCCCACATCCCCACCAACACAAGACTCATTATAAAGATGGTAGAGATCGGGCTATTTCTTCTGGTACCTCCCCTACATCGAGTTCAAGATTTTGAAAAAAAAAAACGCTCAAAGAAACTCTCTTCAAATTTCACTCATACAAACATTTTTGAGTGTTTTAGTATATAGTACCTTCCTATATTCGGTATTTTGCCAATTTTAGAAACATTTTTCCATTGAATTATCTCAAAATTGGTAAAAATTTAAATTGCCAGAAAATTGGCCATTCATATTAACGTCTTCGTATAGACCACATAGACTGCATCATCCAATAGAGCAAATGGTGGAGGGTATGGCCCGACCGAACATGGTAGCTTTTTATACCCTCCACCATAGTATGGAGGATATATTAACTTTGTCATTCCGTTTGTAACTCCTCGAAATACTCATGTCAGACCCAACAAAGTATATATATTCTTGATCAGCGTAAAATTCTAAGTCGATTTAGCGATGTCCGTCTGTCTGTCTGTTGTAATCACGCTAGCTTTCGAATGAATTGAGATAGATGGCTAAAATGTTGCACACATGTTTATTTTTCCAGTAGGCAGGTTAAGTTCGTAAATGGGCAATGTAGGTCCACGTTATCATATAGCCCCCAATAACGGTACCTCCCGATATTCGGTATTTTGATGATTATAGCGACATTATTAACCGGAATTGTTTAAAATTTAGTATTAGAAGTTCGAAATGGATACTACAGCCTATGACAGAAAATTGTCTGCCTGTGACATAAAATTGTCTATGCTGGTCCAGGTCTTCGCACAGCTCCGATATAACGGTACCTCCCTATATACGACATTTTGATGATTTTAACTACATTATTCATCGTTTATTTCAAGTTTCGAATTTGAATATGAAAATGGCTTATGACAAACAATGCCTATGTAGGTCCACGTCGTATGAACCCCAACATATCGGCTATATTCGGTATTTTTATACCCTACAACACTAAGTGTTGGTGGTATTATAAGTTTGATTGGGCCAAAAATTATGTAACACCACGAAATATTGAATTCCCACATAGGAAAGTATATATGGATCCTTCTATCTCGCCGAGCTGAGTCGATCTAGCTATGTATGTCCGTCCGTCCGTCTGTCCATGTTAATTTGTAATCACTCTACAGGTCGCAATTATGGACCGATCTTCATGAAATTTAAAATGTAGGTTGGGTTAAGGTCAGAATAGAACCCTATTTCTTTTCGAGATGATCGCATAATATTTAGAGGTTGAAATGCAGTTGCTCTACAGGTCACAATTATAGACCAATCGAAACGAAAGTTAGCATGGGGCTAGAGCTTTTGGCTGGGTAGAAGCCTTCCAATTTTGACGGTTATCGGGTAATATTTAGTGGTTGAAATAGACCATAGCATTTGTGATAAATAAAAGTCAAATTTTCCATTAAACCGCTAATATTTTTAATGCCGGTGAAATCACAAAAAGACGAACAGGTCAATTCTGACCGTTACGTAGATGCCGATAGTAAAAATATCGGATATATATAGCGAAATATATACAATGTATATATACAAAGGAAGAGGATGTTAGCTTATATGCTTGTATCTCCAGAATGGCTGGAGCGATTTTGACAAATTTTGTAAATTTAGAATGCCCTTTTGGCATAAAAGTATAAAATCTAAAAAAATCGCATAAAAAGATGCCAATGATGATGTTAATATAGATTTTGTAGTATTTTGTGACATTTTTTATTTTTTCATATTTTTTATCGCATGCGATTTTTTCAATTTGACTTATGATATTGAAGTGTATATTTTGTAATATTTTTGCACTTTACAACACAGGTTGGGGCTATTATTTATATACAGATTGCAATTATCGTCCGATCCTCACGAAATTTTTCACAAAGGAAGGGTTAGGCTCAGAAGGGCTAATCCTATTGTTTTCAAAGATGTCCGCAATATATTTAGGGGTTAAAATGGACCAGCAACTCAAAATGTTCCTGATTTTGCAGCCGTTATAAAGGTCGCAAATAGAAACCAAAGGACACGAAATCTTGCATGAAGTTAGAATTTAAGACAGCGGGTAGAATGGACCACTGCCACAAAAACTAACAGCATGACGGAGTGCATAAATATTGGGTAAATGTCCCTGATCAGAGTGCTAAGGGTAATATCTGGGCAGTGTTCCGTGACATAATTTCAAAAGAGAAATCTTCCAAAATGGATTTGGACATGAGGGGGCTTCTAATATATTATAGTGTTGTAGGGTATCACATGGTCGGCCCCGCACGGCTATAGCCTTTGCTTACTTGTTAAAATTGTAACAGAATTTTTTTAGGATTTTATTTTT